CCCCAAAACCCCAAAACCCCAAAACCCCAAAACCCCAAAACCCCAATAACTAAAAACATGCTAATTCTATAATATTTTGACTAAAATTTTAAGAAAATGTTGGCCTATATCTTTGAGACTATGTTCTCGCTTGTTTATAAAGTAAGCATATATGGAGGGTTCATCCTCCTGTTACTGCTGCTTACGCTTTATTATTACCAAGACAGGATGCTTTATGTGACAAATATGCCTTCGCCAGAGATGAAACTTCCTGAACAGAATCCAGAAACTTTTAAATCACCCACTGAACATGAAATGGAGTTTGAAGATGTATATGTAACAACGAAGGACCATATTAAGTTGCATGGATGGTTTATTAAGGTATTTAAATGAGTGTTAGAAGTGGGATCTAGGATATTTAGGCATTTATTAAGCTTTCTAGACCGAACAAGACCCCAAGAGCAACCCGACAATAATATTCTTCCATGCTAATGCAGGAAATATTGGGTTTAGACTTCCTAACATTGTTGGACTTGTAAAGAAATCTGAAGTCAATGTAATATTTTCTTTTAACAATAGGTGTTGATCGTTGGATACAGAGGGTATGGGCACAGTCAAGGTAAACCCACAGAAGCTGACCTCAAGATGGACACCCAGTCTGTCTTTGATTGGGCATTGGAGCACGAACAGATTAATAACGACAAAATATATCTCTTTGGAAGGTCATTGGGAGGAGCAGTTGCTACATATTTAGCCTCTAAAACTCAGGATAAAATAAAAGGTCTTATTTTGGAAAATACCTTTACAAGTATCCCAGACATGGTAGACCATATTTTTAAGTACCTCAGTGCTCTCAAAGGACTTATCTTGAGAATTGAGTGGAACTCTCTTGAGCTCATAAAGGAGCTTAAAGTTCCAATTCTGTTTATCAGTGGTCAGGCAGATCAACTTATTCCTCCATTCCAAATGCAGACTTTGTACTCTAATGCTAAGAAGTCTGTCAAAACAGAAATGATGGAAATAGAGCATGGGACACATAATGAATCTTGGATGCAAGCGGGTGATGTTTACTTCCACAGAATCAAGGATTTTTGCCATGAAAAGTAGTATGTAGTTGTGTGGTCAGAAACAAAATGAAATATTGAATAGAGTTTCAATTCCAAGTGGTGATCACGGGGTTTTGGGGTTTTGGGGTTTTGGGGTTTTGGGG